TGCCCTCCATCCTAGAAAAGAGACCCCACCATAACTTCTCTTTTTTTTTTTGTTTCTCAGGAAATTCTGGTCTGGAAACCCCCCCCCCCCCCAATACCAGAAAAAAAAAATCTGTATCTTGTAACTGAATGTAACGTCGATAACGGGCGATAACTCTTCAGAATGTGAAATTCGTCTTATTGCAGCATCGGATGACCTTTGATTCTTTAAACTTTAACCTAACCAGTTGCATTTCAGACTGTTTTACCCAAATCTATACCAAAACTTGTACTTATCGACTGTCATAGGTCTTGTCAACTTCATGAAATATAATCCAATTAAAACACAAAATAATTCCTACTGACATACATGCAAATGATGTGTACACCACACTAGTACTGCACGTGCAGTGCAATCTAAAAATGATAATGGTAAAACTAGTACTTAAGTGGGTATGTGACGCAAGCCCAATGTGATGCAGGAGTTCAGATACATTTATAGTACAAGAACAAATTTAAAATTATCATTTACAAAAGATGTTTTATCTTAACTTTGCATACTAGGCCTATTTCCAAAAACAGGCAAATAGGGTGTGTTTGTGTGCATGTGTTGGTGGGAGAGGGGTGGGGGGTTGACTAAATTGATTGGGTATATGGCAGCTTTCAAGGTGTTTCTGCCTAATCAAATATAAAAAAAGTTTGTACATTTTGAAAAAATCATCAAAAACGCTTTACGCTAATTTGAATAATATTATTTGTTGTTGATCTATATGAGAAAATAGATTTTAAAAGTTCCAATTATGGGCAAAAATCTATATCCCCCTTTATCAAACCTAATTTACATCATAAATTAAATTCTGTTGTTTAATTTCAGACTGGTAATGAATTAAGAATATGAAATACCTATAAGATCGAGGCCCATGGGTCACATGGTTACCTGAGCATATTATGCTTAATTTGATGAATACATATGTAAATTATTGAATTATATTGACTTTTTCCTTGGTAAAGCCCAATTTGAAAGAGTGTGCATTTAGAGGCAAACACCTTACTTAGTGCGGGTACTACTGTCTCATGACAGCATCTAGTTGTCTTTGTTCCTTCATGTGTCAAGTCCATTGAGGGTCTAGGAAATAATTGATTATGCAAGGTGAAAGCATAATTAATTGATCTAGATATCGTATAGAATTGAAAGACGGTAGAATTGTTTGATCAATTATGTTTCAGATAGAGAGAATTTGTATGTTTCAATTTTTTTTATTATCACAGATCTTACCGTGTCAGCAAAAAATGTGTCGCACAGATAAAATTTGAATCTTTACTGTGTCGGAGAACATTTTTCTGTGTCGGGACCAACACAGTAAAACAGCTCATGGAGAACCCTGCTTGTTAGGGTGTTATTCATGCAAACCTATCCACCACAAGCACTAATCATGCACTAACTAACAAATACCTTAATTACAATAATAACCTACACTCCACTAAGCTGTCTAACTATCAACTAAAGCCTACTTACTAACTCAAACTACAACACAACTGCACCGAACGGAAATACTATACAAACTAAACCTAAGACTAAGAAACACCTTTGTAACGCTACTTACAACTACTATACACCCCATACTTTCTGAATGCAGCAGAAAACACTCCAGACTGACCTTCAGAGGTGGCTATCTCTGCTTCCTGTCAATTCAAACTCAAGAGGTCAAAGCCTGAAAAAGCCAACATCAATTGGAGAGCCATAATACTGGGAAAAGGTGCTCAGAGGTCAAGTATGAATCTTACCGCACTTTCTACTCATGAACGCTGTTAAATGGGAGAGGAACTGCTCTTCACTTCAGGATCCTAGTCAGCTTCAAATTTCTTCTGCTTAACAAGAGAAAACAAACATATCAAAGGAGAATCACTCACATTCCCTAACAAATGAAAAACTTCATTTGAATAATCAACTTGTGACTTACAACCTTGAGCCATATTGGTTGCTGTATAGAGATGGGAAATGGACTCGTCATCTCGTCTTCCTGTGTTGGTCGACCCTGCTCCTCCATCGTTGTTCCTCTTCCCAGTCCCTGAAAGTATAAAACTGGCACAATGTTAGTAAAACTTCAGAAGAATGCAACAAATCACGAAAAGTTACTTACCACTTTGGGCCATGTTGGCTGCTGTATAGAGATGGGAAATGGACTCGTCATCTCGTCTTCCTCTGTTGGTCGACCCTGCTCCTCCATCGTTGTTCCTCTTCCCAGTCCCTGAAAGTATAAAACTGGCACAATGTTAGTGAAACTTCAAAAGAATGCAACAGATCACGAAAAGTTACTTACCACTTTGGGCCATGTTGGCTGCTGTATAGAGATGGGAAATGGACTCGTCATCTCGTCTTCCTCTGTTGGTCGACCCTGCTCCTCCATCGTTGTTCCTCTTCCCAGTCCCTGAAAGTATAAAACTGGCACAATGTTAGTAAAACTTCAAAAGAATGCAACAAATCACGAAAAGTTACTTACCACTTTGGGCCATGTTGGCTGCTGTATAGAGATGGGAAATGGACTCGTCATCTCGTCTTCCTTTGTTGGTCGACCCTGCTCCTCCATCGTTGTTCCTCTTCCCAGTCCCTGAAAGTATAAAACTGGCACAATGTTAGTAAAACTTCAAAAGAATGCAACAAATCACGAAAAGTTACTTACCACTTTGGGCCATGTTGGCTGCTGTATAGAGATGGGAAATGGACTCGTCATCTCGTCTTCCTCTGTTGGTCGACCCTGCTCCTCCATCGTTGTTCCTCTTCCCTGTCCCTGAAAGTATAAATCTGGCACAATGTTAGTAAAACTTCAAAAGAATGCAACAAATCATGAAAAGTTACTTAACACTTTGGGCCATGTTGGCTGCTGTATAGAGATGGGAAATGGACTCGTCATCTCGTCTTCCTCTGTTGGTCGACCCTGCTCCTCCATCGTTGTTCCTCTTCCCTGTCCCTGAAAGTATAAATCTGGCACAATGTTAGTAAAACTTCAAAAGAATGCAACAAATCACGAAAAGTTACTTACCACTCTGGGCCATGTTGGCTGCTGTATAGAGATGGGAAATGGACTCGTCATCTCGTCTTCCTCTGTTGGTCGACCCTGCTCCTCCATCGTTGTTCCTCTTCCCAGTCCCTGAAAGTATAAAACTGGCACAATGTTAGTAAAACTTCAAAAGAATGCAACAAATCACGAAAAGTTACTTACCACTTTGGGCCATGTTGGCTGCTGTATAGAGATGGGAAATGGACTCGTCATCTCGTCTTCCTCTGTTGGTCGACCCTGCTCCTCCATCGTTGTTCCTCTTCCCAGTCCCTGAAAGTATAAAACTGGCACAATGTTAGTAAAACTTCAAAAGAATGCAACAAATCACGAAAAGTTACTTACCACTTTGGGTCATGTTGGCTGCTGTATAGAGATGGGAAATGGACTCGTCATCTCGTCTTCCTCTGTTGGTCGACCCTGCTCCTCCATCGTTGTTCCTCTTCCCAGTCCCTGAAAGTATAAAACTGGCACAATGTTAGTAAAACTTCAAAAGAATGCAACAAATCACGAAAAGTTACTTACCACTTTGGGCCATGTTGGCTGCTGTATAGAGATGGGAAATGGACTCGTCATCTCGTCTTCCTCTGTTGGTCGACCCTGCTCCTCCATCGTTGTTCCTCTTCCCAGTCCCTGAAAGTATAAAACTGGCACAATGTTAGTAAAACTTCAAAAGAATGCAACAAATCACGAAAAGTTACTTACCACTTTGGGCCATGTTGGCTGCTGTATAGAGATGGGAAATGGACTCGTCATCTCGTCTTCCTCTGTTGGTCGACCCTGCTCCTCCATCGTTGTTCCTCTTCCCTGTCCCTGAAAGTATAAAACTGGCACAATGTTAGTAAAACTTCAAAAGAATGCAACAAATCACGAAAAGTTACTTACCACTTTGGGCCATGTTGGCTGCTGTATAGAGATGGGAAATGGACTCGTCATCTCGTCTTCCTCTGTTGGTCGACCCTGCTCCTCCATCGTTGTTCCTCTTCCCTGTCCCTGAAAGTATAAAACTGGCACAATGTTAGTAAAACTTCAAAAGAATGCAACAAATCACGAAAAGTTACTTACCACTTTGGGCCATGTCGGCTGCTGTATAGAGATGGGAAATGGACTCGTCATCTCGTCTTCCTCTGTTGGTCGACCCTGCTCCTCCATCGTTGTTCCTCTTCCGAGTCACTGAAAGTATAAAACTGGCACAATGTTAGTAAAACTTCAAAAGAATGCAACAAATCACGAAAAGTTACTTACCACTTTGGGCCATGTTGGCTGCTGTATAGAGATGGGAAATGGACTCGTCATCTCGTCTTCCTCTGTTGGTCGACCCTGCTCCTCCATCGTTGTTCCTCTTCCCTGTCCCTGAAAGTATAAAACTGGCACAATGTTAGTAAAACTTCAAAAGAATGCAACAAATCACGAAAAGTTACTTACCACTTTGGGCCATGTTGGCTGCTGTATAGAGATGGGAAATGGACTCGTCATCTCGTCTTCCTCCGTTGGTCGACCCTGCTCCTCCATCGTTGTTCCTCTTCCCTGTCCCTGAAAGTATAAAACTGGCACAATGTTAGTAAAACTTCAAAAGAATGCAACAAATCACGAAAAGTTACTTACCACTTTGGGCCATGTTGGCTGCTGTATAGAGATGGGAAATGGACTCGTCATCTCGTCTTCCTCTGTTGGTCGACCCTGCTCCTCCATCGTTGTTCCTCTTCCCTGTCCCTGAAAGTATAAAACTGGCACAATGTTAGTAAAACTTCAAAAGAATGCAACAAATCACGAAAAGTTACTTAACACTTTGGGCCATGTTGGCTGCTGTATAGAGATGGGAAATGGACTCGTCATCTCGTCTTCCTCTGTTGGTCGACCCTGCTCCTCCATCGTTGTTCCTCTTCCCTGTCCCTGAAAGTATAAAACTGGCACAATGTTAGTAAAACTTCAAAAGAATGCAACAAATCACGAAAAGTTACTTACCACTTTGGGCCATGTTGGCTGCTGTATAGAGATGGGAAATGGACTCGTCATCTCGTCTTCCTCTGTTGGTCGACCTTGCTCCTCCATCGTTGTCCCTCTTCTGAGTTCCTGAAAGTATAAAACTGGCAGAAGATTAGTAAAACTTCAAAACAATGCAACAAATCACAAAAATTCAAGTGCAAAAAATCAGTATGACACAATTGGTTGAAAAAGCAGAAAACAATGGCAATTAATTCAGGAAGATGAAATGAGGGGGAAAGGGAAGGTGAGGGTTAGTTATGTTAGAGTCAGCAGGGGGTAGGGGAAAGAAAATGAAAATCAAAAATACTTCCATATAAGCTTCCTTGGCTGTTGCTGTGGCACCTGGTGATGTTCCTTCTGAACTGTCTCAGCATCTCTGCTTACTGTCAATTGAATGTCAAGAGGTCAGAGCCAACATCAATTGGAAAGCCAAAATATACGGAAAGGTTAAAAGAGGTCAAGTGTGAATCTTACCGTACTTTCTTTTCTCGAATGCTGTTAAATAGGAGAGGTACTTCTCCGCACTTCAGCATCCTGGTCAATCTCAACTTTCTTCTGCTTGAAAAGAGAAAACAGACACATCAAAGGGGAATCACTCTCATTTCCCAACAAGTGGAAAACTTCATCTAAATAAGCAATTTGTTACTTACCACTTTGGGCCATGCTGACTGCTGTATATAGCTGAGAAATATACTCGTCGTCTTGTCTTCTTCTGTTGGTCGACCTTGCTCCTCCATCGTTGTTCCTCTTCTGAGTTCCTGAAAGTATAAAACTGGCAGAAGATTAGTAAAACTTCAAAACAATGCAACAAATCACAAAAATTCAAGTGCAAAAAATCAGTATGACACAATTGGTTGAAAAAGCAGAAAACAATGAAAATTAATTCAGGAAGATGAAATGAGGGGGAAAGGGAAGGTGAGGATTAGTTATGTTAGAGTCAGCATGGGGTACCGGAAAGAAAATGAAAATCAAAAATACTTCCATATAAGCTTCCTCTGCTGATGCTGTGGCTCCTGGTGATGTTCCTTCTGAACTGTCTCAGCATCTCTGCTTACTGTCAATTGAAAGTCAAGAGGTCAAAGCCAACATCAATTGGAAAGCCAAAATATAAGGAAAGGTTAAAAGAGGTCAAGTGTGAATCTTACCACGCTTTCTTTTCTTGAATGCTGTTAAATAGGAGAGGTACTTCTCCGCACTACACGATCTTGGTCAACCTAAACTTTCTTTTGATTAAAAAGAGAAAACAGACACATCAAAAAGGAATCACTCTCTTTTCCCAACAAGTGGAAAACTTCATATAAATAAGCAATTTTTTACTTACCACTTTGGGCCATGTTGACTGCTGTATATATCTGAGAAATGTACTCGTCATCTTGTCTTTTTCTGTTGGATGACCTTGCTCCTCCATCGTTGTTCCTCTTCTGAGTTCCTGAAAGTATAAAACTGGCAGATTAGTGAAACTTCAAAACAATGCAACAAATCACAAAAATTCAAGTGAAAAAAATCAGTACAACACAATTGGTTGAAAAAGCAGAAAACAATGACAATTAATTCAGGAAGATGAAATGAGGGGGAAAGGGAAGGTGAGGGTTAGTTATGTTAGAGTCAGCATGGGGTACCGGAAAGAAAATGAAAATCAAAAATACTTCCATATAAGCTTCCTTGGCTGTTGCTTTGGCACCTGGTGATGTTCCTTCTGAACTGTCTCAGCATCTCTGCTTACTGTCAATTGAAAGTCAAGAGGTCTAAGCCAACATTAATCGGATTTTTTTTTGTATATTGTTTAATGTCCATTTTGAGAATTTTTCACTCATATGGAGATGGCACCACTTGCGGTTACGAGCTGCAAAGAATAAGGGTTCACTTCATATTTTATTTGGCCCTGGGAATTTCCAAGTTGTTAAGTTTAAACTGCATCAATTCTTTATAGTGGGAATAAATGTTGGATATATGCTTGTTTAAAATATAAACCAAAAAACTGAGGATGTGTCCCCGTTTAACTATTTTATGTCTGTCAGAACATGCATGGAATGCGTGTTTCCGGAAAATCGTTAAAAATCAACTACTTAAAAGCATTTTTTAATAGGACCGCATCATACCGGTATATCACCACTTTGAAATTTTCTCAGTTGAAACATTGATTTTATCTAAAAGAATTCTTTATGCAAACAAGAGATGTTTGTAAAACACTTATGCCCCCCTTCCCCCAAATTGGAATTTTTCCAAGTCCCAAAGGGCATGACTCTGTCAAAAATGGCAGGATTGTACACAAAACAGAACTTGACCAAGATATTTATCTGAAAATCTGTATACCAAATATCATTTCAGTATGTGCAACCTCTGCAAAGAAAATGAAAGGAAACTGCAAATAATTGGAATTTTTTCTTAGTCCAAGGGGCATAACTCTATCAAAAATGGCGCAATCTTACCAAAAACAGAACTTGACCTAGATATTCATGTGATATATCTGTACACCAAATTTCATTTCAGTACGTACAATGGTTGCGAAGAAAATGATCGGAAACTGCAAATAATTGAAGTTTTTCTAAGTCCAAGGGGCATAACTCTGTCAAAAATGGTGTGGTCGTACCCAAAACAAAACTTGACCTAGATGTTTATGTGATATATCTGTATACCAAATTTCATTTCAGTACGTACAATGGTTGCGAAGAAAATGAACGGAAACTGCAAATAATTGAAGTTTTTCTAAGTCCAAGGGCATAACTCTGTCAAAAATGGTGCGATCGTACCAAAAACAGAACTTTACCTAGATATTCATGTGATATATCTGTATACCAAATTTCATTTCAGTATGTTAAACGGTTGCAAAGAAAATGAACGGAAACTAAGTGGACTGACAGACCGACCGACCGACCGACCGACAGACAGCAGAAAAGCTTCGAAGGGGGGCATAAAAATTACGATGGTGATATTTTGCGGACTATGTTTATTTTTTAAAAATGTATTTATTTTTACACCATCAATTCACATGCATGAGACAAAATGTTGCTACACTTGTATATGTGCATGTAATATACATGAATATAACTCGCCAGGTATCGCTGAAAAAATCGTAATTTTATAGAATGAAGTATTTACATCATTGTTAAGAACATGAAGTCTCCTTTAATTTTACATAGATATAAAAAAGAAGTTCACATAAAAGTAATATTTACACTTTATAAAAATAAAAATGTTATTTTACATTTAGTTGCAATGCTTTTGTCTATAAAGGTTGATTGAAAACAATTTAGAAATACATGTACATAAGTCATTAAAAAAAATGACGTCACAATGGTTTCATCAATACTTGGTCATGGCCTGTTGGTAAAACAAACTATTTTCATAACTTTATTATTATGATACATACGTAAACACAGGAATATGGTTTTTTTTGAGCTATTACAATTAAATCACGATTAATGCACTTACAGATCAGTTTAAATTCATATGTGCTATATAATACAGCCCTAATTAAATCTAGATTATATCATGTCTGGTAGAAAACTCTTCCTTTCTATAAAAAAAAATGCATGGTCCTATATTTCAAGATGGTGAACAATTTAAATTAGGCATAGAGTTTATATAGTAAATTAATAGCAATAACATAAAGGATGGATATAATATATTTACTTGCATATTAATTTATCAAATCATATATAAAAAAGAAAACAAAAACACAATTTATAAAATTGGGGTGGGGTTATTATTTCTGAACTAGATGTACTATATATAAGTGATAAAGCAGGGGGTGGGGGTGTTAACATTTTTTGTATTAATTGAATAGATCTATAGACCTACCCCCGGTATGTGCAATATAATCGGAAGCATAATAAATATACACATAGAGTAATAACAAAAGTCCGAGGATAGAAAATATCTAGATACTTATAAATTGTCAAGAATCACAAAGTTTGCATATGCTCAAGAAAGCATTGCATATATCGGCGTGTATCTGCAAATTTTAAATCCTTATTAAGATAAGCGTTTTAAATATTTGCTAAAAAATTACAGGTATTTATTGACAATATTGCCAGCGAATCGCAGTGATTAGAGCATATGCTCCAGAGTTGAGAAGTAAAGAGTTGATCTTTACGTTGTGGGTTTGATTTCCACTGTGGGACATGGAGACCGGTTCTTCGGATGAAACCATATAAACTGAGGTCCCGCGTCGCAGTAAGTGCTGGCACGAAAAAGATCCCTCCCTGCTCAATGGCATTAAGTGCCGAGTATAGGACAAAAATGTGTAGCTCTCCACCGGCCAGTGGTGGCATCTCTATATGAGTGAAATATTCCCCAGAGGGACATTAAACCACTTACAATCAATCAATCAATTGTCTATTTAGTATAGGTACATCTGGGATATCTGTGTAAAGGTGAACAAGAGGCCCATGGGCCACATCGCTCACCTGAGTAACTTGGGTGATGCAGTTCTTTACGATTTACCCTCTTGCTATACCTATCTTGCCCCCTACCCCTTCCCTTTCATGATTTTAATAATTTAGAATCTATACTACCCCTTGCAGGATGCTTCCACATAAGTTTGAGCTTTCCTGGCCTAGTGGTTATTGAGAGGAAGAATCTTAAAAGATTTTTCCTAAATATATCTATGTAAAACTTGGTTTCCTTATAGTGGCCCCGCCCTACCCCCGGGGGTCATGATTTTTATAATTTGATATCTACACTACCCAAGGATGCTTCCATTTAAGTTTCAGTTTTCCTGGCCCAGTGGTTCTTGAGAAGAAGATTTTTAAATATTTGTTCTATATATTTCTATGTAAAATTTGGATTTCCTTTTGTGGCCCTGCCCTACCCCTGGAGGTCATGAATTTAACAATTTAATATCTACACTACCCAAGGATGCTTTCACATAAGTTTCAGCTTTTCTGGCCCAGTGGTTCTTGAGAAGAAGATTTTTAAAGATTTGTTCTATATACTGCAGATCATTAAATTTTCGCGACACCTTATTTTCGCGAGATAGTCATTGACTCTTTATTAGCGAGACAAAATTTTCACGAATTGTGGTCATTGCTCTATAAAATCTTAAGGAATTCTATATTACGCGAGAATGAAATTTTCGCGAGCATACCGTCTCGCGTTATTACGCGAAAATAAAGTTCTCACGAATAAAAAGTGATTTACAGTATTTCTATGTAAAACATGGATTCCCTATTGTGGCCCCGCCCTACCCCCGGGGGTCATGATTTTAAGAATTTAATATCTACACTACCCAAGGATGCTTCCACATAAGTTTCAGCTTTCCTGGCCCAGTGGTTCTTGAGAAGAAGATTTTTAAAGATTTGTTCTATATATTTCTACGGACAAAATGTGATCAGAAAAGCTCAATTGAGCCTTCGGCTCAGGTGAGCTAAAAAACTATAATTTTGTCATTTTTCTATTTATGTAAATAAATATTAGTTTATCTTTTATTTGCAAGGTACTCATTGACTTTTTTACTTGCATATGAGGTATTAAGGTACAGGAGTACCTCCCTCTTTTTCAAAAGGGAGGGGAGTTTAGTGTGGTATGAGTGTGTGCAGGTATGTGTTAACTTGACACTGTGTGCAATGCGCAAGTGCGAGTAAGTTGTCGTCTGTTGTGCATGGTGGTTTTTTTTTTGCTTGTCAACAAATTTCTGGGATTGGATTTTTTTTTTTGACTGGGGTGGACCCCCCCCTGGAAAAAATTTCTGGATCCGCGCCTGTGGAGTGTAGATCTAGTCACTTGTATTGCAGGAGAGATTGCGTATTATAATATCGTAAGTCTTGTATGATTAATGCTGAATACAAATATAAACAATTACTATCATTGTCAGTTTATACATACAATACTTCAACATTCACTCAATCAGTGTTTGGAGCACGTCGTTTATATATTTATTTGAACATCAATTAGATTATACATTACAGAGTCCAAATATATTATAACCAAATTTTGTTTGTTTTGATTGTCTGTTGGAAATCTTCTTTGGTGAAATTGGGAAAACACATACTTTTTGCCATTATGAATGGAGCCAAAAAACAGGCCCCTTCGACACCCTAAAAATGCCTGTCAGTAAAAATATTTGCATTATCAATACACAGTCGATTCAGGGCAAAGTAAACCCCACTTAGGATCTGATGTCCCAAACTTATTCAGAGTCTAAAAGCACAATACATTTTCAAACGATATTTCACTTTTTTGTTTTATAGATTAATTCACCTGTAGGTTTTAAGCTGTCCCTTTCCGCAGCTTAAAAATACTTTATCAACGTTTTATCAATACGTGCATCTGAATCCGACAAATGTTATTTCAAATAATGTTAACTGTTTTCCCCTAACCAACTCACCTGACCGTCCACTGACGCCAAGATTTCCTGTTCGCGCCACATGTCAAAATTTAAAACTCACAATTCCGATCCCGATGCAAATAAATTACAAATGCATGCAAGAAACAAATAATAAATTTATGTATTAATCAATCCCCCAATTATAAAACAATTTTAGCAGTTAATCTAGAATATGCTCTACCTCTGGGCAGGACAAAATATTTATGTCTCAAACCTGTCTTGTTATATAAGCGACTTTGCTAGGTTACTGGAAGGATGGGAGAGCGGGGGGGGGGGGGGGGGTCTGAATAATTTTTTTTAAAGAAATGCGTTTCAATTTTTCATGTATTCGGTTGATTTTTATGGATTCTATTGCATTTTGA